ATATATTATTTTTTTTTTTTTGCATTTCATGCAATATTTAATGCCATGACTTTATTGAATTTAAGACTTTCTGCTCCGATTTAAGACATTTTTAACACCCAAATATAAAAAAAGGATGATTATGATACCCATGTTTGTTAATGTGAAATTCTGCACTGTTAGGGTTAAGATTATTAATGATTTTGAGAAACAAAAATAAACAAAAAACAGAATAATTGACAGAAGAATGTTATATTTCATTGCATTTAACTCGAGAATTTAACTAATTTACTGGCTGAATTAAAGGTCAAACTACTGAATAACGTTTAGTCAACATGCACAAAGTGCAAGCTTTCGTTATCTAGGCCCAATCACAATTCTATTTTACTTTCATCTCTCTCTCTCTCTCTCTCTCTCTCTCTCTCTCTTTAGGGTTTAGCGATTTATAATTATTGGGGGGTACTAGCCCTCCTCAATATCTATGGTGGTTATCGCCCTGATCAGACATGAAAATATGTTGTGGCACTATCGTGCAGTCTGTAATGATATGACGTTAGCAAACTTTAGCGATTTTTTGCCAACATTTCTTTGAGTAACATGACCGCAAATATGAACTCACGATTGAAAGTAACAAAACAAATAATTGCTTTTCTCTTTAATTTTATTTACATTTACATTTATGTGTCTTTTTGTTCACTCGGGCAGCCATGTTGCCGCTGAAGCCGGTTTACGCTGAGATAATTCATACCCCTTCGTTTGAAGTGTGGTCCTGAAGAATCTTCGTTTGAAGGGCTATCTGGCCCTTTCCCTTACCCCTACCCCTTCATGTGAACGGAAAGGGGAAGGGCTAAGGGGTATAATTGGGATTGGGCATTAGCATTGGGTTTTGTAATTACTTGAGATTATTCAAAGTTTCACTTGCCTTAGTAACTACGAACCTCATCCTATGAGCCTTTATAACTAACATCAACCTCACCAAGTAAGAAGAATCCATGATCTGTATTTTGTGTCTGTCTGTGAGGTGGGTTTAACACTTTGCTCTCCTCAGCTCACGGCACACACCCCAAAGAGGATTTCCCCTCTACATTCACATCTGATCCCTCCTAAGCCTTTTTGTTGGTTTGTTAATGGCTGTTTTTACGACAACAGAACATTGGGGATTTGCACTGCTCTTTTCTCTCTCTCTCTCTCTCTCTCTCTCTCTCTCTCTCGCTCTCTCTCTTTCTGTCTTAGAAATAGAGAATGACATGTAATGAGATACAGACAGAAAACACCCTAACATTAGATGCACTAAAATCAGACCAATTTATTACTCTTGGAATGGAATTAGAGTAATATTGTGCAAAGACAGCTTATTTATACGGCTTAAATTAATTTGGAATTTCTGTTGTAAAATCATTTCTTTTTCACCAAAATGCCACTATATAATGTATTTTTTGGAAACAAGTCGAAATGGGTAAAAACGACATTATTGATCAAAACAGACGCATCGGTGTATAAGTCACATTTTCAACGAGGTACGTTCTCAGAACTTTAGCTAACATTCCGGCAAGGTTCTCTCAAACGTATTAATAAATGTTCTTCCAGTGATTATAACTTAAAGTTCGTTCTCAAATGTTCTCAAAATGTTAGCACAAAGACATTATTTATACATAGTTCGTGGAACGTTTTATTTCTGAAACGTTCATCTAATGTTTCTTTTTATGTTACCACTTGCTGTAGAACGTTCAGAGGACAGTCCAAAAAAAAAGTTCCCAGAATGTTTGCCAAATTAAAAATGTAAATGGAATGTTCTCTTAACATAACAAAAAAAAATCCATTCCCCTCAATCCATAATGAATCCTTTAAATTGAATGGTATTCAGAACAAAACAGAAAATAGCATTAAAAAAACATAGTGACATTCAATATAAACAACATTTATTATAAACAACAACAGCAAGTTGTTAAGTGAAAACAGCATATTTTCTTAGCAACAGATGCTATTTACACTAAGTGCAAATAGAAATGGATTCTATTTACACAATGTAAAAACAGCAGCATGTTCTTTGCACTAAGTGTAAATAGATGCTATTTATACTCAGTGGAAAAAATGGCAGATATTTGCACATTAGAATTGTAGTATACTATAAATCAGTATGCAGTAATAACATACTAAGTGTAACTTATCATATTCATTAAAATTATTCATAATGGATGCCACGCTATATTGGGACAATAAATTCCCCTCAATCCATAATGAATCCTTTAAATTGAATGGTATTCAGAACAAAACAGAAAATAGCATTAAAAAAACATAGTGACATTCAATATAAACAACATTTAGTTGTTAACAGCAAGTTGTTAAGTGAAAACAGCATATTTTCTTAGCAACAGATGCTATTTACACTAAGTGCAAATAGAAATGGATTCTATTTACACAATGTAAAAACAGCAGCATGTTCTTTGCACTAAGTGTAAATAGATGCTATTTATACTCAGTGGAAAAAATGGCAGATATTTGCACATTAGAATTGTAGTATACTATAAATCAGTATGCAGTAATAACATACTAAGTGTAACTTATCATATTCATTAAAATTATTCATAATGGATGCCACGCTATATTGGGACAATAAAGCCCTCCCTACCCCTAACCAATAAACACTTTATTATTTCCACTTTTCGAATATTTCCTTATTTTTTATTGAAAATAAATGTATTTTCAATTTGATATGTGATGGGAAAAGAGAGGCAAAAGGCGGATTCGAAATCGGGTAGATCACGTCAAAAATTACTCCCACGCACCTTACGTCCTACCCACCGTTCCTGTTGCTTGACACAGACCTGTTGTAATGTTGTCTGTTCCAACCAGACATTGGTGGGCGGGGCTAGTGTAAATAGCCAACAAGACGGGCTATTTGTACTTTCAAATAAACTTTGGCTCATGTACCTCGATCATTCGGTACAAATCCAAATGTGTGTGCTTATATGGCTCAGGTCTTCATGTGCCGTATGTCTGTGAGATTTGTTTGGTTGTTTTATAGTGTACCCAGTGAAAATCATAAGCCTGCTTTCTTATAAAATACATAATAATAGCACACCTGTGTCTGTGCCACAGATTATGTTTAACAGAAACACAAATATATGTGTGATTAGCCTGCTGTCAAGTGCTCGCATACGTGCTAAATTCTTCAGCAGCTGAAATGAAAGGTCAGCACTTGCATGTGAGTGGGCAGAACCCGAGAGACACTCTTATTACCATCACCTCCAGGACACGGTTACTATAGAGACCTGAGTACCTCCGTCCTCATGGCAACCTCAATCCCGACTAATGCACGGATTTAACCTGCTAACTCGTGCTGAACTGGACCAGACCTACAGGAAAGAGGAAAAAAGCAGAAAAGAGATCTCATTAATCATTCAGTTGTTTCTCCTGGTTCTTAGATGCGAGAACGATTTGAAATATCTAAAATCTTCATCACTAAATCTCCACTAAAACTAAAGTTTCAGAAGAGATCTCAAAAATGACTCAGATTTGCCAAGATACATCAAAAACAGGGATCTCAGTATCTTACAGTAAATGTTTATTGCTCAAAGAATGCTCTTATATAGCTCATGAGACTTTATCATTTGAGCATCAGCTTTGTTTAGTGTATCAAATTATGCATACACTACTGTTCAAATGTTTGGGGTGTTTTTTTATTTATTTATTTACACAAATTAACACTTTTATTCAACAAGGACACATTAAATTGATCAAAAGTGACAGTGAAGACATTTATGATGTTACAAAAGATTTCGGTTTCAAACACATGCTGTTTGTTTTCTGACTTTCTAGTCACCAAAAAATCCTGAAAAATATATATCATGGTTTACAAAAACATATGAAGCAGCGCAACTGTTTTCAACATTGGTAATAATCAGAAATGTTTCTTGAGCAGCAAATCAGCATATTAGAATGATTTCTGAAGGATCATGTGACACTGAAGACTGGAGTAATGATGCTGAAAAATCAGCTTTGCATCACAGGAATAAATTTAATTTTACAATATATTCCAATAGAAAATAGTTTTTAAAATTGTAATAATTTTTCACAATATTACTGTTTTTACAGTTTTTTAAAAATAAATGCAGCTTTGTTTCAAAACCATGAAAAAATGCACTGACCCAAAACTTTTAACTAGTAGCGCAAAAAGATATTCACGTATAAAATTGTCAACAATTCTCTCATTAGTGCCTTTTAAGAGAGTTTTAGGAGAATCATCTAAAATAATGTTCTAGATTCCTCCTCCTGTCTATGACGCGCAGGTTTTATCACTACAGCGTGGTATTGTACTGCACTGTATTATATAAACCTGTGTGTGTTTGAACACATTGTTAGGGAGATCATGGTTGCGCATTCTCTCTCTCTCTTTCTACCTTTGGGCGAAAGATTTACAGATGGCCTCGTTTTGCGGCTCTGCTGTCCAGCTGTTGGCAGTTCCATTACTAAATGATCCCTCTGTCAGATTGACATGCGTCTGGCCTCTGCTTGGCCTGTCACTCAAACTTAATGTCACCATGGTAACGGAGAGAAAGAGAGGATGGACTGAGGATGGAAGGAAAAAAATTTACTGCAACTCGATACCCATCTGTTTACTTATAATCTTCCTTTTGGGCCTCAATGCATGTGACTGCTGTGCTGCTTTACTGGAACTGAGCTGGTTTTCTCTATATTTGAATATGCTATAAAAATATATGCACAACCATTCGGACGTTTGGAATCACTATATTAGCAATGACACATTAAAATGGATTGATAAAAATTATATTTAAAATAAAGGCTGTTCTTTTGAATGTTCTATTCATCAAAAAATCCTGAAAAAGAAAATGTATCACAGTTTCCAAAAAAATATGAAGCATTGATAATAATATGAAGAAAAGTTTCTTGAGCAGCAAATCAGCATATTAGAATGATTTCTGAAGGATCATGTGACACTGAAGACTGGAGTAATGATGCTGAAAATTCAGCGTGGCATCACAGGAATAAATTGCAATTTACAATATATTAGAACAGAAAATTGTTACTTTAAACTGAAATAATATTTCATAATATTACAAATTTTACTGTATTTTTGGTCAAATAAATGACGTCTTGGTGAGCATAAAATACTTCTTTCAAAAACATAAAATCTTACTGATCCCAAACTTTTGAAAAGTAGTTCATATTACTTAAAATTGTCTTTCAAATATTTAAACATCATGGTAGTATTTGTTATACTGACTTTAAACTATGCCAATTCAAGTAAAAAATATTTCCATTTTCATACGTAATGCAGTAAAAAAAAAACTACATTAATGACAAGTTATTAGAAATCTCTTTTTTGTAGCTAAAGTCAAAAATGAAAACATGCCAATTCAAGTAAGAAAAACTAATTTCCATTTTCATATGTAAAATACAGTAAAAAATATTCTACATTAATAACAAGTTATTAGAAATCACTTTTTGTAGCTAAAGTCAAAAATGAAAACATGCCAATTCAAGTAAGAAAAACTAATTTCCATTTTCATACGTAAAATACAGTAAAAAATATTCTACATTAATGACAAGTTATTAGAAATCACTTTTTGTAGCTAAAGTAAAAAAATGAAAACATGCAAATTCAAGTAAGAAAAAATATTTCCATTTTCATAATACAGTAAAAGAAGATTCTACAATAATGACAAGTTATTAGAAATCACTTTTTTGTAGCTAAAGTCAAAAATGAAAACATGCCAATTCAAGTAAGAAAAACTAATTTCCATTTTCATACGTAAAATACAGTAAAAAATATTCTACATTAATGACAAGTTATTAGAAATCACTTTTTGTAGCTAAAGTAAAAAAATGAAAACATGCAAATTCAAGTAAGAAAAAATATTTCCATTTTCATAATACAGTAAAAGAAGATTCTACAATAATGACAAGTTATTAGAAATCACTTTTTTGTAGCTAAAGTCAAAAATTAAAACATGCCAATTCAAGTAAGAAAAACAAATTTCCATTTTCATACGTAAAATACAGTAAAAAATATTCTACATTAATGACAAGTTATTAGAAATCACTTTTTTGTAGCTAAAGTCAAAAATTAAAACATGCCAATTCAAGTAAGAAAAACAAATTTCCATTTTCATACGTAAAATACAGTAAAAAATATTCTACATTAATGACAAGTTATTAGAAATCACTTTTTGTAGCTAAAGTTAAAAAATGAAAACATGCCAATTCAAGTAAGAAAAAAATATTTCCATTTTCATAATACAGTAAAATAAGATTCTACAATAATGACAAGTTATTAGAAATCACTTTTTTGTAGCTAAAGTCAAAAATGAACATGCCAATTCAAGTAAGAAAAAAATATTTCCATTTTCATAATACAGTAAAAAAAGTTTCTACAATAATGACAAGTTATTAGAAATCACTTTTTTGTAGCTAGTCAAAAATGAAAACATGCCAATTCAAGTAAGAAAAAAATATTTCCATTTTCATAATACAGTAAAAAAAGTTTCTACAATAATGACAAGTTATTAGAAATCACTTTTTTGTAGCTAGTCAAAAATGAAAACATGCCAATTCAAGTAAGAAAAAAATATTTCCATTTTCATAATACAGTAAAAAAAGTTTCTACAATAATGACAAGTTATTAGAAATCACTTTTTTGTAGCTAAAGTCAAAAATGAAAACATGCCAATTTAAGTAAGAACAAAATGCCAATTTTTATAAGTAATACAGTAAAAAAATATTCTACAATAATGACAAGTTATTAGAAATCACTTTTTTGTAGCTAAAGTCAAAAATGAAAACAAACTTAAAAAGAAAATTAGAAAATCTGGGGGTTGGAATGAGGCCTGAACTTGCTTTTGCCACATTCGCCCATGTTTCTATGCTATATGCGCCTTTGACTCACATTGTCATTCCTGCTGTTAAATATCTTCATGTTTCCTCCATTCACAGGAAGTGCCCTGATGGGTTTGACTGTTTAAAGACGGGTCGTAATCCAAACTATGGCTACACAAGCTTTGACACCTTTGGCTGGGCCTTCCTGGCTCTCTTCAGACTAATGACACAAGACTACTGGGAAAACCTCTACCATCAGGTACAAGCCGTGACACTGTAGGAATAATCATCTGTTATCTAAATATTATTACAAACATCTCTTCTTCCTCTCCATGACAGACTTTACGGTCAGCAGGGAAGACCTACATGATTTTCTTTGTGCTGGTGATATTTCTGGGTTCGTTCTACCTAGTGAACTTGATCCTGGCTGTCGTGGCCATGGCGTATGAGGAGCAAAACCAGGCGACCATTGCAGAGGCCTGGGCAAAAGAAAGAGAGTTTCAGCTGGCGATGGAACAGCTACGCAAGGAACAGAGGGTAATTTGACAACTAGCAGTCTGAAATAAGTACCAAAGTAGTGCCAAATACAATTGTATTTTGTCTTTCCTTTTACGGCTGTCAATTCCCAGTGGATAAAATCAAGTAAAATGGATTGCGAACGTCATTTCATGTTGATTTTGAATACAAATTAAAATAATGAAATAATGCTCCTTTCCCAGCGCCTACCTAAAATGTGTTGCTTTACACTGCAAGAAACATGTATAGTACTGTAGGAAAATACACAATTATTATAGAATTATTATACTCATTGCATTTAATTTCAATGGCAAATTCAGCTCAAGCACATCTGATTTTTCTGTTCTCGTAGGCATTATCAAAACAGCGCAGAAAGGAGGCTGAGCTGGCTCTGGCAGCGGATTTATCTCCATCACCTTTCTTACGGAAAGACTCGCTGAAATGCCGAAGTAGAATGAGATCCCACAGAACGCTTTCAGAGGAGATGGAGGAGAACTCTTTGCCAAAATTTGACCCATTTGATGACAAAGTCAGTACTCTTTCATAACTGTTTTATTTATATTTGGCTTTACGATACACAGTAATTTTTCCTGTCTAAAATAAGTTGTCGTCTAAATTTTTTTTATTTAAAAACAAAGACTGAAAAATGAAAGAAATACATACAAATGATTTTAAAGGCTTATTGTCAATTTTGTGTGTGTGTAAAAAACCAAATACAAATTTTAAGATAAAATATATCACATTTTCTAAAAAAATTAAAAAAAGAAAGAGAGAAAGAAAAAATGGTTGCTTCTGTCTTCAATATTGTAGTATCATTGATATACTGTAATAGTGTTCGTTAATATTTAGAATTAGGTTTTATTATCAAATTTTCTGTCTTCACTTTAATTTTAATTAATTTTGGTTTTATCAATTTTATTGTGTTTTTGTCATTTTTATAAATTACTCATTCATTTTATAAATCTATATAGTCTTTTTTAAATTTTTATTTATTAGTTTATTTTAATACTTCAACTTAATCTAAACGAAAATTTGAAATTTTGCCTTGTCAACTAGCTGAAATAAATGTGCTTACTTTTTATATTTTATTTTAGTTAATGCTTATTATGAGTTTAGTTTTAGTTAACGATAATAACACTGCTGTCTTGTTAAATTAGTATCTTGTCTTTCTTATCATATACCTTCTAATCTCTCTTTCAAACTCCTGTCCTCCAGCCAGCTCACCCTCTCCTAGCCACTCTCTCCTCCCATCCTCTGAGCACCCGTCGCGGAAGCCAAGTCAGCATCTTTACCTTCCGGCCACGCAATAATTCAGAGGCCGACTTTGCAGATGACGAACACAGCATCCATGATGATGGACGAAGCCGAGCGGGTTCCATGGCTATACCGTGGAACAAGCGTCGTACGGGTAGCATCAGGAGTCACTCGTCACAGGTGTTCATGCCCACCCTCACCCTTAACGGCAGACTAAACCTTCCTCTGGACCAGAACGGCATCACCAGCATCAGCCCACACACCCCGACCCACGCGTTCAGCATGGAAAAGGTCTGGGAGGATATGGTATGGTCTTACCCATTACACCTAGTTTATATAGTAATAAAACAAAAAGTCATTTACTCACCCTCATGTTCCTGGAATCCTATGTTTGTCCTTCATATAACACAAAAGTAGTTATCAAGAAGAATGTCCAGGCAAATCTTTTAGCTTCCATCTTATGGAAAAGAGTTGAGGATGGAGTTGAAGAGTTGAGTGAGATAAATGTTGATAGAATAATAATAATAAGAATAATAAGAATAATTTGATAAGGAAACATTAATAAAAAATGGACTATTTTAACACTATAAAGCCTACTGTATCAGATTTAATATGCAAATTTACAAGGCATCTAAATGATCAACAATCACAATTTTGTTTAAAAAAGAACCTGTTGTACACAACATTCTTCATGCCTTATGTCATCTGATTGTCATTTTGTAAATGGTCTTTTATTATTATTTTAGTATCATTCTAAAGATCTCATTGATGAGATTACAAGCTATCAGAATTTCATTGCAACTTTTGGCCATATAAATATCAGCAACTGCACCAAATTGATTAATTTTTTTTTGTCAAAAGATTCAATAAACTTCTAAAAACACAGACTATTATTTCATATATCAGGCTTTACAGGGTTAACCAATATGTGTGTGTATGCTTGTTAAAGTATCATGCCATTAGTGGCAGCTTTTGAGGAACGTTTCAAATCGGTCACTTACGAGGTTCCACTTTAGTTCCAATGCAGATTTAAAGGAAGTTACCTACGTCGGTAGCAGACAATGAGGACGTTCACTAGGTTTTGGAAAAGATTTGATGTTTTTGTGTTCGCTTTGATTTGACAGGAGCCAGTGTGTCAGAATGAACAGACCACTGCAGCTGCCAAGCTGACTGTCGACGTGCAGGAGGAGGTCCCGCCCCCTCGCAGGAAGAGAGGACTGAGCTCTGTCAGCTTCTTCAGTGAAGCCATGGATGGTGCGGCAGACTAAAATTGTTTAGGAAAAATAAAAGACACAAATGAGTCAATTGTTGCCATGCTGTAAGAGTACAAACTATCAAATCAACGTTGATACCAGCTTAGATCATTGAATCTGAGAACAATTTGATTTGAGTTCACATTGAGAATCCTCACTTTTGATTGCAGACTTTTGTACCTTGACAAATCTGAGCACAGTTTGAGACTGTTGAGCTCTCTTCTGAAACTTTTTCTGATGAGACAGAAAAGGAGAAGCAAAAGTATTTGATTGCTCTTCGTTTAATCTCACGGCTGTCAAGGAGAAATCATTTAGCTACTAAAAGATGATTCAAAAGATTAAAATGATTTAATCTAAAACGCCCATGATTTTTATTTCTCCTCTTAGAACTTGAAGAGGCCCATCAGAAGTGTCCTCCATGCTGGTATGAATTTGCGAAGAAGTACCTGGTTTGGACATGCTCTCCAGCCTGGCTGAGAGTGAAGGAAGGGCTTAAAGTCATGGTGATGGACCCCTTCCTGGACCTTGCAATTACTATTTGCATTGTACTCAACACATTGTTCATGGCGCTGGAGCACTACCCCATGACTGATGAATTCAACAGCATGCTGACTGTTGGAAACCTGGTGAGGACAATTACAGTAATAGTGGCATCTCAAAATCTGTGGTTGCGCATCTCAACCAGCCCTGTTTCTTTCATTTCAATGTAAAGGTTTGTTCTTGCTTACCAGGTGTTCACTGGAATCTTCACGGCAGAGATGGTGATGAAGATCTTTGCTTTGGATCCATACTATTACTTTCAGCAAGGCTGGAACATTTTTGATGGAATTATTGTTTCTTTGAGTCTGATGGAGTTGGGCCTTTCCAACGTGGAGGGTCTGTCTGTCCTCCGCTCGTTTAGACTGGTAAGTTTCGACTCTGCTTGGAAACAGACATAGTAAATTCAATAGACTGGACAGTGAGGATTGCCACATGCACAATATATGAGAAATGCCATAAGTAGACGTGAATGTCTTTGAGCGAATCATTGAATTTTGAATCAGTTAACTGAAGCAGAGTGTTTGAACTGTTTCGCAGAAATGAGCACCATTAAAATGCACTTATATATTCACAAGTCACAAGACAAGGATTGTGAAACTAGTTACATTTTTACTATGGAATTAATTAATCAAAATATTAAAAATGGGTCATTTTGAAAAAAATATTAGTATGCATCATTCAGAGATTTAAAAAAAAAATTTTTAAATATTTTTTTTTTGAAAATTAAAAAAAGTAGATTTAAACAATTCAGTATTGCACTATCCCCAAAAAGGACATAATTTCACCATCAATGATCTTGAATCTTCATTCATCTTCATTAATGTTTGTATCTGTAGTCTGTAATTAGGAGGCATTAGTGTACTTGACACACACTGAATCCATTAGCACAGACACTCCAATAAAGTTTTAAATATCAACAAATCTGTATTTTTGCTATGTGTAAAATGCAGCATGAACAGTGCATCTGAACTTGTCATCCCTTTGAACTCGTGTCTTGCTATTCGTTATCAGATTAAAGCTACACAGAGCTTTTAACATCCTTTTATATTGTGATAAATACTGTTATTAAGCAGTGCTGTGTGTGTACGATAAAAATGACTTTCTCCATGGCTTCACACACATGTGCATGTTTGGCAGAGCAGTAATCCTTTATCCATTAGTGAGATTAAAAATGTTGGAGTTGACATCTTAAAAAGTGGGCTACACTTTCTTTTAGTTCAACATCAGTCACAATGCAAACTGAATATAGGCCATGCTTTAGCTAAAACAAAATACCAGTTAGGTGAATTTACAAAAATGTAAAACAAAGAATGTTTTTGGTGTCAAATAACATGACTGATCGAAAATATGCTCGCCCTCAGGCCATCCAAGATGTATGTGTGTTTGTTTCTTCATCGGAACAGATTTGCAGAAATTTAGCATTACGTTACTTGCTCACCAGTGGATCCTCTGCAGTGAATGGGTGCCGTCAGAATGAAAGGCCAAACAACTGATAAAAACATCACAATAATCCACAAAACTCATGTCCATCAGTCATCATTTTGTGAAGTGAAAAGCTGTTTGTAAGAAACAAATCCATCATTAAGACACTTTCAACTTCAAACCATTTTTTCCGGCTAAAATATATCCATAATAATGCTTTCTCCAGTGAAAAAGTCATCTGCCCCAAACAGTCCCAAACTATTCTAAACAATTATGTCAGTGGCTTTCGATGTGAGAGGACGGCAGGAGATGGACTTTCACTGGAGGAAGCGCTATTATGGATTATTGTGCATTTTGCCCAGAAGTCACAGACTGAAGTTAAAGCGCCTTAATGATGAATTAGTTTCTTACAAACATGCAACTTTTCACATCACAAGATGTTAATTGATGGACTGGAGTTGTGTGGATGATTTATGGATTATTGTGATGTTTTTATCAGCTGTTTGGACTCTCATTCTGACGGCACCCATTCACTGCAGAGGATTCATTGGTGAGCAAGTGATGCAGTGCTAAATTTCTCCAAATCTGTTCTGATGAAGAAACAAACTCACCTACATCTTGGATGACCTGAGGGTGAGTACATTTTCAGTAAATTTAAATATTTGGGTGAACTATAAATATCAATACTGAATGAAATATGTTCGGTATTTTGTCCTCAGCTGAGAGTTTTGAAACTAGCAAAGTCATGGCCCACCCTCAACACGCTGATAAAGATCATCGGTAACTCTGTGGGTGCCTTGGGGAACCTGACGCTAGTCTTGGCCATCATCGTCTTCATCTTCGCTGTAGTGGGCATGCAGCTGTTTGGAAAGAACTATCAGGACTGCGTGTGTAAGATCAGCTACGACTGCACCCTTCCTCGCTGGCACATGAAGGACTTCTTCCACTCGTTCCTCATCGTGTTCCGGGTCTTGTGCGGAGAGTGGATCGAGACCATGTGGGATTGTATGGAGGTGGCTGGACAGCCGCTTTGCATTCTGGTCTTCATGCTGGTCATGGTCATAGGAAACCTGGTGGTGAGTACAAACTGTTTTCTGCTCAGGTTATGCTAATGAGATTAACACGGTGCTGTGGAATACTTGATTCAACATTCTACAGTAAAATATCACTCATCAGTCTTTTTCTTCTCACATAATAAAATAATTTAAACTCATATCAATATTTCATGTCCATTTATTTATAAAATAAATTATATTTGTGAGATATTAAGGAAACAAGCCTGGACTGTTACTGTACAAAGTTGTGATGATCAGGGTGGGATTACTCCTGTTCCTAATTGATTGATTAAAGGGGTCATATGATGCGATTTCAATTTTTCCTTTCTCTTTGGAGTGTTACAAGCTCTTGGTGCATAAAGAAGATCTGTAAAGTTGCAAAGACTAAAGTCTCAAATCCAAAGAGATATTCTTTATAAAAGTTAAGAGTCAACCACGCCTACCTAAAATGGCTCGTTCTAACACGCCCCCACACGTCTACGTCACGATGTGGGAAGATTTGCATAACGCCGCCCAAATGTTCACGCAAAGAAAGAAGGTGTAACTTTTATTCTCGCTGTAGTATTGTTGCTGCCGCCGCCATGTCGTGAAGGCGCTGTGTGCTTCGATGTGAAAGCGAAACGCCTTTGTTTGGCCTTCCAAAAGAGGACGATATCCGCTTCGTCATGCCTGGAGCTGATCCGTGCTGGTCGCTGAGGAAATACATCAACTTCACGCTGTGGATCGCCAGATAGGCTTTCACCGTGGACGAAGCGAAGTCCAGCCCGGGGTCGTCACATGTGGTTGCCGCAAGCCTGCCGGCCGCGCCGTTCTCAAGCCCATTGGCCGTCGCTCACTCTAGCCCACCATGTGTGACGCTGTGTTTCGTTGTGAAAGCGAAAATACTTTGTTTGGCCTTCCAAAAGGGGACACGACTAGAAATCAGTGGTTAAGTTGTATTTACAACACTGTTCCAGAACAGTTCAACCCAAATATTCGGATATAAATATATGGAGGACTGTTTCCTGATCCTGGTAGAGTAGACTATAATGCCGGCTGTTCTGACTCACAGACTGTAAGTACGTTTTTTATATTTAAAGAATTTGCCACTGACGATTCAAACGTGAGTTTTGAGCAGTGTAGAGTAACGCTTGTTGTTTGTCCTTTCTCCGATCACAAATGCAGACATGGTTTTATGTTTACGTGGCACAATGCATAAAAAAGACAGTATAAGTCATTATAATCCGTAATTATGACCCCACTGGATGCAACAAGTGCCTCGTTTATAATGGGTTTTAATGTTTTTGTCTCGTCGCTCCGGCCGGACACGGCATCACAATATGGTAAGGGGTGTAACATTTCCGTCACACGCTTGAGGTATTCGGCCAGTCACAACGCACTGGATAGCTGGCCAATCACAGCACACCTCGCTTTTCAGACCGATGAGCTTTGTAAAAATCGATGCATTTCAGAAAGGCGGGGAATAGAGGAGAACCAATAATGTACATTATGTGGAAAATAATGTGTTTTTTTAACCTTAAACCACATAAACACATTTCATTACACCAAATAATGTTCTTTTTAGTAACATCATATGACCCCTTTAATATTTTGTCATCATTGCCTCACTCTTTTGTCATTCTTGCCTAAAAAAGAAAAGGAGTTGCTAGACAGAATGTACAAGCTAATAAGAAAGTGCATATTTATACCATCACGCTTCAAGGACCACACAATATGGTGTTTTTCTTAGAGCTTGGCATTATAAATTACCACCTACCTTTGTTGTATACAAAAAAAGAGTAAATTATTCCTTTAAGGACAAAATTGACTAAATGGATGTATGCATTGGCTAATTCAGACACTAACCTTCTCTGGTGGAACATTTAATAATGTGATATTTCAACACAGGATTATAATTGAAATGACTCTAGGTTGGGGTCATGATGGCTATTGAACTATTAAGTGACTCTAAAACATTTTGATGTCACAATTGTTTATTGACACTAATGTCAGACCTGCTAAACTCGACAAAAAAAACATAACATCACACATAGAAAAGTTTTGCATTTTGATATATTAAATTGGCATAAATATGCTTTATTATTCTTTGCATTTCAATATATTTTGAAGATAAACCATCATAGCCTAAAAAAAATCTCTGTGAGGACACATGACATGGCATTAGAAAAAAAAAAAATTCTCCCAGATGTTCTTCTAATATCCAGTTGTAACCAGAAAATACCTCTAAGAAGACTAAATGAAGGTCTTTTCCCAGAAAATAAGATGCCACTAAGCTCTCCTTCCTAGGTTTTCCTGTTTTGACATGACGACTGTCCTAAAAGAAGACATGATGTCATGAAGTGACAAGCGCAAAGATATTCACTCTCTATGAAATTACTTGTAAAATAGTGTGTACAATAATCACAAACATGGATATGCATTGGTCAAAATGTGTGGGAATCGTGGTTGATACCATCACACTCTACAGGTGCATCTTAATAAATTATAATGTCGTGGAAAAGTTCATTTATTTCAGTAATTCAACTCAAATTGTGAAAAAGAGGACTTTGGACCACTGGGCAACAGTCCAGCTTTTCTTCTCCTTAGCCCAGGTAAGACGCCTCTGACGTTGTCTGTGGTTCAGGAGTGGCTTAAGAAGAGGAATACAACAACTGTAGCCAAATTCCTTGACACGTCTGTGTGTGGTGGCTCTTGATGCCTTGACCCCAGCCTCAGTCCATTCCTTGTGAAGTTCACTCAAATTCTTGAATCGATTTTGCTTGACAATCCTCATAAGGCTGCGGTTCTCTCGGTTGGTTGTGCATCTTTTTCTTCCTCACTTTTTCCTTCCACTCAACTTTTTGTTAACATGCTTGGATACAGCACTCTGTGAACAGCCAGCTTCTTTGGCAATGAATGTTTGAGGCTTACCTTCCTTGTGAAGGGTGTCAATGATTGTCTTCTGGACAACTGTCAGATGAGCAGTCTTCCCCATGATTGTGTAGCCTAGTGAACCAAACTGAGAGACTATTTTGAAGGCTCAGGAAGCCTTTACAGGTGTTTTGAGTTGATTAGCTGATTGGCATGTCACCATATTCTAATTTGTTGAGATTGGTGGGTTTTTGTTAAATGTGAGCCAAAATCATCACAATTAAAAGAACCAAAGGCTTAAACTACTTCAGTCTGTGTGCATTGAATTTATTTAATACACGAGTTTCACAATTTGAGTTGAATTACTGAAATAAATGAACTTTTCCACAACATTCTAATTTATTGAGGTGCACCTGTATATATAGGCTAGTTTCCCAAATGTGTTTGGCAGATTGTAAACATACATAAATTAATCCTCAGGGTAGATGCCATATTTAAGCTGATGCAAATGAAAATGAGTCAGTGAAGGATAGAAACAGCTGGTTTAATTGGTTAGACATCTTCTACAGTTGTTTGTGCACTAGAATACTTTTCTGAAAGAAGTTTTCAACATATTTGTCAGCTATATGATTGACACCAAGATACACAACAGTACAACCTATAGAACATACTGCACAGTCATGTTTTCATTTGCGTCACATGAAAAAATAGCATGTAACCTGACTAAGGTCCTTTCCAAGAAAATAAATCAGAAAATTTTAGTTTTAACCTCCTTATTTTACCCAGGAGTCCCCTGTTGTGTGTTGCACAGAAATGCATTCGTGGAATAGGGTCCACGCGGGCTTGTACTTAAGTATACACTTTCCTCTTCTGGCTTTTCCAACTCATAACTGCTAAGTTGTCTACTCTATAAATGCAGAAACAGCTGTTTGTCACTGGTAATTGAACTACGGTGCTTTTTAAAGCCGGACAGAGGGACAGACAGCATGGATTTAACTAAAATCGTGGGGCATTTGGTCCTTTCAAAGCTAGACTGAAAAGGACAAAAAAAGTGTATGATCTATCAGAGAAGGTCTATATGTACTAAATGTCATGTACTGTTAATCACAGATTCACAATTCACATGACAGCATTAATTAAAGTTTCTTTATCCATATGATCTATAAAGTCATAACTGACTGCGTTTAAATTAATAAAAGAATTTTTGAGATTTGTGAAGTGGTCGGCATCTCCTATGATCCATCAAAGCCACCTGCATAAAACTCACCGCTCAAATGAATGCACAACACAGCCAAGCTGCATGTAATGTGTGTAAGATTGCAATAAAATTATGAGATAATTATTCCTTCACAAATAAATCTCTCAATGAGTAAAACTGGTTGTGTCTATTATTATAGATATGCAACATTTTAATTATTTTAATAATTATAAAATTATTATTTTTACAATTATTTTTCCTGGTTTAATAAGGTACACTTGTAAGAAAATAGATGTGACTGGGACAGACTTTCAGTATCATCTTCACTTAAAAAGATGCAATCGTATCTTGTTTACGTGAAATGAGCTGCTCCTGAGCAGGTCTGAGTTAACGGACCTGTTGCTATGACAGCAACTCCAGGATGAGCTTCAAAGAACCTAACAACCCTGGATCATGTCAAATCAGCAACAATAAAATCCAGTTAACTGGATAATCCACATATGAAGAACGGACCCTTGACTTTAATTAGCTGGTTCATTTGTGTTTGATCAGGGTTGGAGCTGAACTTTGCAGGACGGTAGATCTTCAGGAACAGGATTGGGCACTCCTGATGTAACTGAAGGTTTTTAGCAACAGTTTGTTGCTTCGCTTACAATATAAAGTGAGTGATGTGAAGCCAAGTATGGTGTCCCATACTCGGAATTTGTGCTCTGCATTTAACCCATCCAAGTGCACACACACAGCAGTGAGTAGTGAACACACACACACCCCCTGAGCAGTGGGCAACCATTTTTGCTGCAGCACCCAGTGCCTTGCTCAAGGGTCTCACTTCAGTTGTAGTATTGAAGGTGGAAGAGAACGCTCCCTCCCGCCACCTACAATCCCCGCCGGTATCGAGACTCAAACCCATGACCTTTTGGTTACAAGTCCTTTAGGTTACAACTCTCTAACCATTAGGCCAGGACTTCATATCCTAGATGGATATAAAGATTCTCTGCCATTTCAGTAAATGAACCACTATACATCAGTGTTGGCCCCAAAAATCCCATTTGTCTTTTTTATATGCAATGAGATAATGTCCATCCCAAAACATTCCCAGATGTAGTGCATCCAAATATAACCTTTCCTGACATATCTGTTTTCTTGGTTTCTCTATAGATGTTGAATCTGTTTCTAGCCCTATTGTTGAGCTCCTTCAGCTCTGATAATTTGTCAGCGCCCGACGAAGATGGAGAAATGAACAACCTTCAGATAGCCATCAGTCGAATCCACTTTGGTTTCACTTGGCTGCTGGACGGCATCAAAGATCTCTTCAACGGGAACCTGGCAGGCTGCAGACAAAAGGCCAAAGAGAAGCAGGTGTCACTGAAAGAGAATCACACTGAGTGCAACGGCGGTGTGGGAAGTTTAGAGCAGCATGGAGGGAAGTACATTACTCTAGAAGGAGAGGACAGTTACATTACCAATCCCAACCTTACCATCTGTGTGCCCATTGCGCCAGGAGAGTCGGACGTGGAATTCCTTGAGGAGGAGGATGATGAGGAGACAGAGTCATCAGAGGATGAAGAGCAGAAACTGGTGAGAGGTTATGAGAGGTGATTTATTAGTTTTAGTGTTGGGAATTTGGTTCATTAAGTTCTTGAGGTTGTATAATCTGATTCACAAGCAAATGACTCATTACGAGCTGATTCTCAAAAATACTCACTAATTATTCTCAAACTCATAAGTTATGATTTGAATTGATTGGTTAATTTAATCTCTGATGCATGTTTCTTAAGAAACAAAATACTTGTTTAGTATATAGTTAGGACCAACTATTTTGTTTTCTTAAAAGTATTAAAGAATTGTTTCCATTTCAGTTCTTTAAAGTTTTATTGAAATTCAGAAACAGAATAATTGAATTCTTTTAATTATGATCCCTAATTACTGCAGTACATTTGAGAAATAAAACACAAAATAATGCATTTACAAATTTGAACTTAATATGAGAGGTTATGAATGTTCTTGAGGTTGTGTAGTTCACAAACATATGACTCATATGAGCCGATTCTTTTTAATGCATTAGTCAAAACACTCACAATTAATCTCGATCTCCTGAGTTATTGATTTCAATTGGTGGGTTATTTCACTCTCTGCTCCGCTGCTACTTTTGTCATGTCAAATTAAAGACAGCATACATGTTTTCTTTATAATAAATGAGTACTTTAAATTAAGTTTAAAAAAAAAAGTACAAAAAGAATCATTTCTATTTCAGTTCTGTGAAATGGATCTGAAATTCAGAATCAGAATAAATTAATTATTTTGATAACAATCCCCAAATAGTGTTGTGCATCTGATAGATGAAAAAAAAAATTAAGAGTAATCCAGCCTCACACACATATATACACACACACACAGTCACACACACTGCTCGCCTCGTAATGTGGAATTACATAAGCAGAAGGATTGTGCTGGCACCTTAGGGCTAGTAATCTCTGTAAATCATTTTAAATATGTTGCCATTACATGCAGGGAAAATCTCATCAAAACTGTATTAAGAAGGCCCACTGTCTAGAGACAGAAACAAGGTGAATGCATGTATATTCAGGCAGATTTAGAACGGCTCTCTCTCTGGCCATCTCAGATTATACTGGAGGTCGCTGACCTTGATTTGTGTGCTTGTGGATTAGGTGCATAGGCTAGTATTGCACCATATGCATCTTTGTTCATGCGTTCTATTAGCTGTCTGCATTTTCCATGCCAAACCCAGAGGATTTTTCAATCAATGCTGGTTTCCTGGTTTATATGTGCAAATATACACCAATATTGTGCAGTTAACACCCAAATTATCGAATTAACAGATTCAGTACTAGTTTATACAAGGCCAAGAACCTAAATGATAGCATATGCATCACATTAATCATTAGATGTAGTGGGAATATGATGGAATATGGGAATACGAATACGCATTGAATATGATGTATGAATTGCATGTGGGGTTCAATCACACAGACATGGAACACCTATTCAGTAATGGCTGCTGAAAATTCAGCTTTGCGTCACAAGAATAAAGTTCTGAAGTAATTTTTTATTTAAAACTCAATGCAAGCTTTGCTGTCTTGTTCAACAGGAAGTCAGCCTCTCTGAAGGAAGCACTGCGGACTTGAGGAAGCCTGGGGAAGATGAGGAGGAATATTCTGAGATGGCAGATGATGGCATGGATCCAGAAGAGTGTTTCCCTGAGTGTAAGCAAATAATGAAACGGAAGGCCATTGCTTCCACTTTTATGTACTGCATCATGTTTTTTTGTGAGGAGCTGATCGAACTAATCTCTCTGGATCTCTCCAGTCTGTATGCAGCGCTGTGAGTGTTGTAACATCAACACGGCGAGAGGTCTGGGTCAAGCGTGGTGGAGGTTGAGGAAGACCTGCTATCAGATTGTGGAGCACAGCTGGTTTGAGACCTTCATCATCTTCATGATCCTCCTCAGCAGTGGCGCTCTGGTGAGGAACTAAACTGAGCAGTGAACAGTGAAAATTGTTTACATTTTAGAAATCAAAGATTAATGTTATTCATGCATCAAATTTGTCCCTGTGATTAAATGTGGAACTAGATTCATCACAATCAAGTATCAAGTTTCCAGGGTCTTATTGTGTTATGATATTCTTCTTGGGTCAGGCATTTGAAGACATTTACATCGAACAGCGGAAGGTGGTGAAGGTGGTGTTGGAATATGCTGATAAGGTGTTCAGCTACATCTTCGTGCTGGAGATGTTTCTGAAGTGGATCGCGTATGGCTTTAAGAAATACTTCACTAACTACTGGTGCTGGCTGGACTTCCTGATTGTGGATGTGAGTAGAAGAATACTGGATCACGAGTTTGGAATAAAGACGTCTATTATGCTCACCAAGGCTGCATTTAATTTGTTCGAAAATGCAGTAAAACAGTAATATGCTTACAGTTTTAACGTTTTAAACATACTTTAAAATGTAATTTATTCCTGTGATCAAAGCTGAATTTTCAGCATTATAACTCCAGTCTTCAGTGTCACATGATCCTTCAGAAATCATTCTAATATGTTGATTTGCTGCTCAAGAAACATTTCTTAATATTATTATCAATGTTGAAAAGAGTTGTGCTGCTTCATATTTTTGTCAAAAATGTGATAGACTTCCATTCAAAAATTTGGGGCCAGTAAGATTAAAAAAAAAGAAATGTACTTTTATTGAGCAATAACGCATTAAATTGACAGTAAAGACATTAATAATGTTACAAAAGATTTATTTTCAAATAAATGCTGTTCTTTTGAACTTTCTATTCATCAGAGAATCCACAAAAATATGAAGCATCATAACTGTTTTGCAACATTGATAACAAACAGAAATAATTCTACTTTTTCTATAGGAAACGGTTATTTTAAATTGTAATAATATTTCACAATATTAATGTTTTTCACACTTTAACATTTAACATTAATTTAACATTGTTAGAATACAGGGCCATGAAAGTAAAATTAATCTGGTTTAAAATGAGGACTTTTCTGGCTAGAAAACTGGAAAAATAAAGAATCTGTTGCAGTGAAGGCCATTCATTACAGTGATTTTAGCACAAATCATGCCAAGCAGAGTGTCTAAATCTCCGTTAATCATGAAAAAAAAGAAGGAGTAAAACGGACACTGAGGTGGCTTATTGATTTTATAAACTATGTACAACAGCAATATGATAAAACACAGATTTTCTGAACTGTTTAATTGGATTAAACAGTTCTTTCACAAATCATATAGTTCAGTTGTCAAACTGTAGACTGTTTAGGTGTAACAAGCATCATATTAACTTAATATAGCCATAATTTATAGTCTGAGCCATCCATAATTGACGTTAAAGACATAGTGATACAATTTAATTTTGAAGTTTTAAATTTGATGATTTTTGTTCGGAACTTTTGGTTTTGTTTCATTCTGGTTTTGTGTTGCTTGCACAATGACACCTCAGACCTTTTATGGCAGATTGGATTCAGAGTCAGAATTGAGATGTTATGGCAAACACATCCCTCAGACACTGAGATAACTGCACAAAATACACATATAAAACAACTACACATGAACTAAACACAAGTGTGTCTCACCTCATGCTCACCTGACCCACACAGATCTCCACACACACCTTTAATGATAGGGTAAGTTTACAGTTTAAAGGTCAGAGGTGAGAGAAGGCTCACTTCTGTATTTCAGCTGCAGTTTTCGTTTCACCCACGACGAGATATAACTGTCTCTCTGTCGGCAATTTGAACGGATTCATTTCGACCTGTAATTTAACATGGTGTCAAGTTTGATATGTTTTAATAATTATTCCCACAGGACCTTGGCTTTTATATCAAAATGTACTCACTGTATCTAAGAATTATCTGGAGAAGATCAGATTTAGGACTGTCCATAAAATCAAGAATGAACATTTTAACGGTACATTACAGTGAAAAAACATTTAAAGAACGTTTTAGCTATAATCTGTACACACTTTATTTTTTTATGATTTTATGATTTAATTTTGTATTTTTATTTATATCAGTTAATCTTTGATTTCTGAAGTAGTGTTTTAGAGCAAATTGCACAGAAATATCTTCTTTTGATATATTGCAGTGTCAAGGAAACCTATAGAAATAGTTTTTGTTTTTTTTATAAAGAACTGACAATTCTTGGGACTACATTTCATAATCCATAAATGGAATCTAATCTATGAAACAATTGGGAATTCAGAACACTGTTTGGACTGATGAAAATCACATTATTAAAAAGGAATCTGATCAAAATAAATGATTTTAAAGAAAAACCCAATTTCTTTATAAAACCTCACTCTATTTTATACTGTATATATGCATATTGATTATGCATATATAATTGAGTATGTGGGTATATGCATTGATGTACATATGTGCATACTTGTCCATGTTTTGCCTTCATTTCACCTCATTGGCCCATCAATCAAATTGCTACTGTTCCTGTGGCCACAACCTGCCATACAGCAGAAACCCATTCTGTTCTACACTGTCTGTCTACTTTGACTGTAGAATAGAGTGGAAACCGATTGTGGTTTTAAACTGATTTGTAAAACTGATCTGATTTATATGTCCCAATAAATGTGTTCCTATAGAATGTCCCAAAAACGCATAAATAAATAAATTGCATCAAGTTACATATTTTAGTCTATTTAATATAAAAAGCCATTCAGAGAGGTGTTTTATTAATGTGAAGTATTTTATCAAAAAGTTCTTATGTTTTCTCCTATTGCAGGTTTCTTTGATTAGCTTGGTCGCTAACTCTCTGGGCTATTCGGACTTTGGGGCCATTAAATCTTTGAGGACTCTAAGAGCTCTGAGGCCCTTGAGGGCCCTGTCTAGATTTGTTTTGATATATTGCAGTGTCAAGGAAACCTATAGAAATAGTTTTTTGTTTTTTTATAAAGAACTGACAATTCTTGGGACTACATTTCATAATCCATAAATGGAATCTAATCTATGAAACAATTGGGAATTCAGAACACTGTTTGGACTGATGAAAATCACATTAATAAAAAAGAATCTGATCAAAATAAATGATTTTAAAGAAAAACCCATTCTGTTCTACACTGTCTGTCTACTTTGACTGTAGAATAGAGTGGAAACCGATTGTGGTTTTAAACTGATTTGTAAAACTGATCTGATTTATATGTCCCAATAAATGTGTTCCTATAGAATGTCCCAAAAACGCATAAATAAATAAATTGCATCAAGTTACATATTTTAGTCTATTTAATATAAAAAGCCATTCAGAGAGGTGTTTTATTAATGTGAAGTATTTTATCAAAAAGTTCTTATGTTTTCTCCTATTGCAGGTTTCTTTGATTAGCTTGGTCGCTAACTCTCTGGGCTACTCGGACTTTGGGGCCATTAAATCTTTGAGGACTCTAAGAGCTCTGAGGCCCTTGAGGGCCCTGTCTAGATTTGAAGGAATGCGGGTAAGATGCTGTCTTCTCAACTCAAAATATATTGTAAAAGTGATACTCATTATAACATGTCAAGTTTTTAGGGAATTCAATCAGATTATGCCGCCCTGCATCATATTTGCTGAATGAAATTCAATACTTTTTTCTTACTAATTTTGGGTACTGATTCCAAGAATAGTGCCGATTTTGCTCAAGCATGTCACACTTTCTCACAAAATATGATGCTTTTCAATTGCACATGCACTGAATGATACCGAAGATGTTATTTAATGCCTAATAATCATTTCACGGTTCGGACTTTGGGGCCATTAAATCTTTGAGGACTCTAAGAGCTCTGAGGCCCTTGAGGGCCCTGTCTAGATTTGAAGGAATGCGGGTAAGATGCTGTCTTCTCAACTCAAAATATATTGTAAAAGTGATACTCATTATAACATGTCAAGTTTTTAGGGAAATCAATCAGATTATGCCGCCCTGCATCATATTTGCTGAATGAAATTCAATACTTTTTTCTTACAAATTTTGGGTACTGATTCCAAGAATAGTGCCGATTTTGCTCAAGCATGTCACACTTTCTCACAAAATATGCTTTTCAATTGCACATGCACTGAATGATACCGAAGATGTTATTTAATGCCTAATAATCATTTCACGGTTACAATTATGGCCAGTGACAAACGAAAATGCAAACATGAACCAGATATTTTCTGTTTTTCTACATCCAAACAGCCACAGAAAATTACAGATTTTGTGGGAAAAGAAACATTTATAAACTTGTTTATGTAAAGTTCATTATCATTAAATTATTTAAGTAAAATTTTGACAATCCGTTGCATAAGTTAATTGATATATATATATATATATATATACTTACATCGAGAGAGAGAGAGAGAGAGAGAGAGAGAGAGAGAGAGATATACACTTTAAAATAAGTTAATTGATCAATTTTGAATATTTATTTTGGAACTTTTGACATGACTGCTTTTGTTATTTTGATAAGTGCTGATACAAACATTTTTATTATTTGATATAAATATGTATATATATATATATATATATATATTCACATCGAGAGAGAGAGAGAGAGAGAGAGAGAGAGAGAGAGAGGTACACTTTAAAAAAACCTCTTTCTCTTTTTTTTATAA